TATCTATCTATCTATCTATCTATCTATCTATCTATCTATCTATCTATCTATCTATCTATCTATCTATCTATCTATCTATCTATCTATCTATCATGTAAATGGCTAATAACACTGAAAAATAATTCTGTAATATAACAGTATCAGATGTAAAAAGGCAGAAATTGTTTTTTTTAGATCCAGTATGACTGTACTGTGCATGTGGGGTTTTACCTGTTCATTACTTTGAACACAGTTTTTGTCTTCCTTTCGTTTGTCTTCCCTCTGTGACTAATTTCATGATCCTGCCATTCTTCACCACAGAGGAAAACAAGCCCACCTGAGTGTCACATGGGATACTGCAGATTGAGGTGGTACAACAGCTCTTGTAAAAATGGCAAACACTATTCACAGCACAGGAAGTTTCAGTTTGAGCCTAACGGTTGTGGAGAGCCGTGGAACTGAAATGTGCCATGCTGTTGAACCATATGTTTCACAGCTTTGTCTACAAACCCTGCCTGGCCCCTTTGATTACACTTTACACATTGTTAACCATACAACCAGAGCATCGCTGCCTGAACATGCAGTTGGCAAAGCCTGGGTAACTTTTTCAGAACATGACGTCAGTGTGAAAAGAAAAAAAAATGCACAGCACATGAAACGTTTTGCAGTTTTTCTCTATCTTTCTCTTTGGAAATTGCACTATTTGGCATTAAAGCTGAGACATATAGACAGGGGACAGACATATTGCCAGTTTAATACCATAAGTAGGATCAGCAATAAAGGAAGGGGGAAAAGAACATTTTATGTTAAATTGCCATAGAAAGTATCAGAACATGCAAGAAGTCATAACTGCCAATGATATACTGTAAAAGTTTCAAATTGCTAAGAATTTTCTGAGATTATAGCAGAAAAAAATGACTTTTTAAAAACGCTTCTTGTTGTACAATTGTCTATGACGCTACTACTACTGTATTTACAGAAGGGAACAAATTATAGGAAAGAATACACTGTTTTAGTAGGGTGTTGTGTCACCATGTAAAGCAAAAAGGGCTCCGGTGCACCTTGGCACTGACTCTCTGACTCACTACAACTCTACTAGTGGAAGCAAACACCATTCTTTCAAAAAGCATCCCCTCATTTGGTCTTTTAATAATGTTAATGGGAGCACCGTCTGACGTGTCCATCCAAAATCTTCTGTGGGTGTATAGATGGGAACTAAATTCGTGAATGTGTCGACAATAATACATGATTCATTATTTATACTCATTAAACCACTCAGTAACCCCTTGAACTTTGTGAATAGGGCTATGAAAGAAATGTTTCATCTTACCATGCCAGCAGCATGCCCCCGACGTTATAATAAAGGCACTGGATCCTTTTACTGCAGAGGTCAAGGGTTCAGAGTTTTCCATAGATTTGTCACCTATCCCTATGTGTGCATTCAGGGTACAGTGCTAGCTGGTTTCACAGTCTTTCTCAGATGAATGAAATTGTTTTGTATCAGGATAACTTGGTAACAAAGACTTTTGGATGCCTAGTTCATGCTGTCTACAGTACAGAGCTGTGGAAAACTAATGCGCACTGCCATTTCCATTTAGAAAGGTTGGTCACATTTCCAAAACCACTGTCCCCCTAGGATATCTGTCTTTCTCTCAAATAGCAATTTATCGAACAGGGCAGCCTCGTCTTTTCTACTCCTCATCGCCATGAGAAGCTGTAATTCTCTCTCAGTATCCTCAGCACGATCTCTCTCTTTCTCTCTCCTCCAAAAAGAACCAAGCTAAGGCAACTTGCATACAAAATAGCTGACTCAATCATACAGCTGCATAATCAAGATAAGGGAGATGGGGACAGGAAAAGAGAGATATGAAGGCTAATGCGAGAGATAGCTTTAGCAACAGCAGCAAAACTAAGATGTTTTGAAACACTCCTAACTCCTGCCATAAAAAAATCTTCAAGAAGTAAGACACTTGTTCACACTGATGGTAAGGGTTAAGCTGGGTCTGATCATCTTAATGAAATTATTGGAATGAGAGCAAACATTGACAATCAATACATTGCCCGCAGTTTTGGTGGAATTTGACAGATTGTTTAAGCTTAATATCTTAAATGCTTCCCAGGCTCTAAATACCACTAGGACTGTAGCACCTTATTTAACCAGCAGAGGAATGATACAGCATTCCTACACCTACATGCACAGTGGAAAACCACAGAATCATATCTATAGCTTCTAATTTCTTTGGTCGTTGTGTGACCGCAGGCGTAGTTTATATTAAACCTGGCATTGTTTCTGCATTTTCAAACCATTATTCCGCAGACTACAGATGCTTATTTGTGCAAACCACTTCAGAGCTGGCTGAATTTATTTGAAAATTAGGTCTTTGCTGAATTAAAAAAGAGAGAAATCAATCCCTATGAAGCCTTGGGCAATTCAAATAAATAAACACGTCTAGAATGCAGTATATAGATTGCATTTCCCAGACAGATGGCAGAGACGCAGCAAAATCCTCAGCTAATCTGTGTGAGACTGAACAGGGCTACACTAAGGACCAGACTGTGTAATAACAACATAGTACTGTATGTTCAGGTCATGCAATGCACTAATCATTTAAGATTGGGCTTTTAAGTTGCCTTAACCATGTCATGACCTCCCTTAATAGTGGCTTGTGAATTGTACGTGTACATTACTGAGACTAGATGTCATTTGGTCACTTTTGTGTAGGGTGTGTTGGCCTGGAGATGTAGGAAGCAGAAGAGGTGCAGTCGAGAGCACATGTGTGTGTATGTGTGTGTGTGTATGTGTGTGTGTTTTCTATGCGCACTGTATGTGTTTGCTTAATGTGTTCATTTGACAAAGCAACAGCTAGCCCTCTCTACAGCAGGGTGTAAAGTCAAGTAACAGCAGTATCTTTGTGTAAAATAAAGTGGTTATGTAGAGTCGTGGAGGAACTGTCCGTGGTGCTGAAGCGACATCTCCAGCGGACAGTATTACTGGTGGTTTACAGTTGCAAAGTATCCACTTCACTTTGACTGGAGCTGTAGCAGACTGAATGCTTGCAGAGCAAATGCGCGCGTGGGTTGCGTTTTTTTTTTTTAGTTAATGAAGAAAATAACTTACAAAAGAGGAGAAGAAGAAGAGGAAGGAAAACAAGGAACTTAATGCAGCTGCCGTAATTCGTAACACGAATCGCAGCCCAGACCAAAAAGTGCCCCCATGTCCCGTTTCAGTGCCCGTCAATGTGCTAAGATCTTAAAGAAGCAAATGCAAAATGCACCGGCGGTAGCGTGCTGTTTTCCAAGTTAAACGGTGCATTTTGAAAGCTCTGTATTCACTTAGTAATATGAGTTATGTTATCTGCATGGCATGTGTACAACAGCTGAACAAAACTCAAATACTAAAACCACTGCTCCTTAATAGAAAACACAAGTGTCAAGTGCAATGCGAGCTCTGTAAAGTCTGCGAAATTAAAGTGCAAAATCGGGCAACAGTGTAACAGTGTAACAGCTTACCTGCTTAACGATCGCAGAGCAAGAGCCTCTTCCCGATACAAAGCTGTCTGCTTACTGTATCTCACCGCGAACACAAGACATATTCAAAGAGACGGGAGATGTTTCTGGCAGATAGTACAAAAATGAAAATAACAAAAGAAAAATCCAGATTTCTGTTTCGGTTTAAAGACGCGCAAAGCAGCAGCTGCCTGCGCCAAGGGTGAGTCTCAAAGATCCATTTAGCGGAGAGTGATTTAATTCAAGGCTGAGCTCCTCTCATTGCTCGCCTTTATGTATGCTGAAGAGACTCGGAGCCTGGCTTGGCTTTTTTTTCCCCCTCTCTCTTTTTTCTCTCTCTATTACACCGAGAGCTGACACCAGCGTTTAACCACAATAAAAGGAGCCGTGTAGGTAGGCAGAGTAGGTGTGTTATCAGTTGGGAAACTGCGGAGAATAACTGCGACAGGAGCGCGTGTTGATCCTCCAATCTAGCCGAGGTAAAGTTTAAATCTCATAATAAGATTGCCTGTCACCGCGAGGCTATAAATGGTGGCCGGTTCAACACGGATGCCTGGAGGGTTTTACGGCAACTCCTGCGGCTGAAGTGGAAACTGAAGTGAAGTAAAAACTGAATCGGTTCGACTTAATGAAGACAGTCGGGGGGGAAAGTGTCAGTTACGTCACCTGGGCTTTAGAGCTTGGGCAGTCCTATCTATGAGAAAACTTTTTTCCTCTGAGTATGGGCTGCACCAACGCGCTGGAAATGATTTTGAATTGCTCAATTTCACAGTCTGGTTAGGGGTATGTTTAATTTGGTACTGCTTGAAGGGAGACCATTTTCTTCCTCACATAAAGGTCCACTGCTCCAAACAGCAGGCGTGGGAGTTTAATAATCAAAGGAAGTTATTAGCATGACTATTTAATAATACTTGGTGAATATACTTTTAAAAATTTGCATCCGGGGAATACGGCTATGGGTGAGGCTATTGGGTAGGTATAATACACTCCCCCTGGTAACAACAAATAATATCCACCTTTGCCTGTTGTGTTTTCGGTCTCTATGTCCTCTGAAATTCATGGGATTACAGGCGTGGCCCATGTCAATAGTCAGGCACACTAATCCAAATGAAAACCATTGAGGAGCTCCCTTAGAGTAGTGAAAAATACCCCACTGGGATTGGTAGAAGGTCTGTGAATTTCAGAGTTTTAATAATAAGAAGGCAGCAGAAGGAGGAGCTAAGAAATCTATTGAAGTACCCCATACTTCAGTGAAGAAGTCAGGCCTCAGCTCCTGTGATAGCAAATCAATACATATCATTGATAGATTATTGAATATAAAAACCTTCACAACACAATCCAAACCATATGGATATGTGTCCACACAATATGATACAGGATGGCATTCACAAGAAATAACTGCAGAAAGAGCTGAAAGCGTAACATTTTCCTGCTTAGAAAAGCTACGGAAAAACATCATCTGTGCATCAAGGGTTAAACCCAGATTTTCTCTCCCTGTGTAAATGCAGTCCCAGATTTAATTTATGGAGAGTGCAGCCTGATGTCCTCTGTAATGACGTAGTCTGGGGGATGACCCGAGCAAGTCGGGAAGTGGCAGCCAGGATGCAGATGCTCTTCTCTGAGAGGGAGCAAGTGGTTGTGTTAGGACTTGGCACAGACGCTGCAATTCCTTGTCTCATTGCAGCAGTCACGTTGGAGCTGTGAAATGTGGAGATGGACAGCCTGGCCCAGGAAGTCAGAGCACTGCAGCTGCAGCTCTGAGAATGACAGACACACTGTATCATGCTCCCTAATATCTTCACAACCCTGAGGAGTGCCTGATATGTGACCCCATATAGACGCTGTAGCCTTTGAGCCTGTGCTGCCACTGCGCACCACGCTAAATTGAAAAATAAAGGTTTAAAGATATCAGGAACAGCAGCTGGCAGAATAAAGAAGAGCAGGATGAAGCCAAAGGTCTTATTCTTCTTTTGAGGAGGTAAAGTGAACGCTGCCAAATGCTAATGTTTCTGCTTCAATTCTGAAGCCTTACTTGCAAAGAAATTCTTAGGGTACATCAGAAATGCCTCAGTCAGTGGTTTTTATATGAAGTCTTTATGTTTTCTCTTTGTTGTGTTTATTTCAGCGACAACATGAAGACTCAAGTGCAGCAAATAGTGTGGGCTTGATGGGATGTCATAACCTTCCCAGTTGAATTTACCTAGAGGGCATGAATGCTTTCATGTCAACCTTGTATAAGCTTTGATTCCCAGTGGACGAATCTGTCTTTGTTCATCACACATTAATCATTTACAATGGATTGTAAGTATGTATTAGGTAGTCTGTTTCTCATTTCAAAGCCAAATGGCAACATGTCAGACCAGCATTGAATTTATTGACATAAAGGCTGCCAGAGTTTGAGTGTCTCCCTTTCTTATATGTTTCAGTAGAAATGCATACAGCGTGCAACAGACTTTAGATATAATCAAAACTGGCAATAGGTTTATTGAAAATATTGAGCTCTTTTTGTTGTAATACTTATGACTTGACTGCATTTTCAGGTTCACAGGTTTTTAGGCTGATAATGCACATTACTGTATATTCAGGTTGACTGGTTTTTCAAAACAAGGAAGCACAACAATGAATTATGCTCTGTATAACAGTCTATATATCCTCTGAGATACATTTTATTACATTATTTTACTACTGGCACTTATTCTGCTTCTGTTCTATCACTGTCCAGCTAATTAAACTGAATATTGCAATACACATTCTTTGATCAAATCATTGGGTATGCCTGTTATGCTACTTGTTAATTGGAATATCTAATCGGCCCAAACAACAGCAGCACCTCAAGTCATTCAGGCATGTAAACACAGTCGAGACGACATGCTTAAGTTCAAACTGAACATCATAATGGAGGAGGTAGGTGATCTCAGTGAATTTGAATGCTGCATGATTGTGACGTTGTTGACGCGAGTACTTGAAAATGCTGATTTCCTCGGACTTTCCTGTAAATCTCTAGGGTTTACAAAGAATAATTCAAAAAAACAGAAAATACCAAGTGAGAGGCAGGTCTCTGGGTGAAAATGCCTTGTTGGCATCAGAGGAGAATGGCCAGACTGCTTTGAGCTGCTAGAACACATCAGTAATTTATATAACCACTTGTTACAACCAAGGTATGCAGAAAAGCATGTTTAAACACACAACACGTCAAATTTTGAGGCAGATGGGCAACAGCAGCAGAAGAGCATATGGAGTGCCTCTTCTGGCAGTTCCGAAGAGGAAACAGAGGCTACAGTTTACCAAAACTGGAAAAAATGTTGCCTGGTGTCAAGAGTCTCAATTTCTGATGTGACAGGTGGCAGGGTCAGAATTTGAACGATATGAAAGTATGCATCCACCCAGGCTAGTGGTCATGGTGGTGTGGGAAATAAATGACATTACATGATTACATATAATTATATCTATGGCACAAAAAATGTACAAATAAGGTAGTTCTGAAGGGAAAAGGGTCCTTCTAGCTATTTCTAAGGTGTACCTAATCAAGTGGCTAGTGAGTGTATGCACCAACAAGTACATTTTTGACTTCAGCATATACAGTTTTCAATTTTAATATGTAAAATCGAAAGTATTTAAAAAGCAATGATATTCATATGAAATAATAGTATTTAATAATATGCAACAATGCAAACCTACTGGATCTTTCAAAAATACAACTGCCCCTGAAATTTTAACATTTGAGGAAATACAGTGATATCATTCTTGTTACTGTTTTCAACTCTACTGTGCTTGAGATGAAACATTTGTTAAAGTTAAAAAGCATAATTTATGTTAAATTAAATCAATGGCACTTTCACTATCAGGCAGTTGGACTTGTTTTGCATTTGACTGGACAGGAAATGATTTGTTTATCTAAAAACAAAATGCTGAAAATGAAAAGATTATATTGTCAGTAAATGAAGTCCAGGCAGTGAGAGTGGAGAAAAAAAAAGGTGAACTGTATTATTCAAATCCTTCATTTACTGGCTAAGCCAATTTGGTGCTGAGGCAAGTGACAGGGCTGGTAATAATTCAGAGGAAGAGACGGTGACTGCTGGTTGATATAATGGAATATCTGCTGTCAGTGAAGTGCGGGAGATCTATCTTACTGGCTAAGCAGTGGGTATGACATCTACAGCTACTTCACCAATGATAAGGTTATATGGGAGGTATAGGAAGGTGCACTCAGAGATGTTTGCTCCCTTTTAAAAGCTCTACTTGCATAACCTTTACTGTCCACCAAGCAACATGCAAACAGATGGAGTGCTGAATCTTTGATAGGCATCGAAACGAAGTGGATGAATGTGGCACGGCATTAATATGTCTGTGCAATCGCTGCAGGTTTCTCTGTTATCACCACGGTTTACGGCCAAAAATACAGAAAGAAAAGACAAAGAGAGAAAATGATCAAACATTACAAATAAAGTGTCTGAAGTAAGTTAGCTGATCATGGTCAAATACCTAACATTGACCTTTAAGACTGAAGAAATCACTTGAATTCCAGATTCAAGATTCAAGATGGAGTTGAGAACATGCCTCTCCAGGTATCCTCTCATAGTCCAAAGACATGCATGCTAAGTTAATAGGCGATTCTAAATTGCACACAGGTGAGAATGGTTGTCTCTCTGTGTTAGCCCTGTGATAGAATGTATTCCACCTCTCATGCCCTGTGATAGCAGGGAATAACAACCCCCAAACACACACACACACACACACACACACACACAAGCAGACACACACGCACACCCCACTCGACCCTGACCCTGAGTTAAGGTCTAGTTGATGCCTTCTCATGTCCTGTTATGTCTGACCAGCGGTCTGAATGAATTTGTCTTCTTTAATGTCATAACACCATAAATAAACTTGCCTGGAGTTTTAGCTTTAAAAATTTTTTAGTTTTTTCCATTGATACTATTTTACAATGATGTCAAAGTGTCACAGAATATTAAAGTAGTGGCTGCCACAATCGTGTGGGGGCAAATTAAATTGCAAGGCTAGGTCAAATCAGACTAGGAAGAGGGGATAGGAATGTATCCCAAAGAACTGCAAAAAGCAAACTAATGCTGAAGAATCATTTGCATAATCACTAGGTGGAGCACTGAGTGGGACCAGGTTAGGACACAGAACCAAAGCTCTGAGCTAATGTGGGAGTCCCATTTGCATTTTCTTTTTAATTTAGTTAGTGCAGACAAATTGAGATAGCTCATCTCAAACAACTGACTGTACTCTACAATGTGCTCTACATTGCAGATTTGAAAATGGAATCACTGAGCAAAGGATTTATTTTCACTTCATTCAGATCCACAGGTTTAGGTTTAGCTTATTAGAGATGTCTTCTGTTCTGACAGAATATCAATCACCTGTCAACTAAGACAAGGAGACCAATTTGAGATCTTATCTTTTTATTGGCAGCTCTCAAGGGATAGTGAAATTTTA